ATTAAAATTATCTTCATAAGGAGATTAACTAAATGTTTCTTTCTATTCCAAAAGCATTTGGGTGATCAGACATACCGATTCTTGAAATTGTATTGTAATATGTTTTATTTTTCTTGTAATTTAGTATTACTCAGTAATTGGTATTGATAAATTCATAATTTCATTTTTAATGAAAAATAATTGTTTTTCTTTAGCTTCTATTAATGACTTAATAGACCTTGTTATAGGGTCTGAGACAAACTGGAAATTTATTGATTTATCTTTATAGGTTCCTGTAAATCCTTGAAAATTAACTTCTTTAAGTGGATATAACATACATAAAAATGGAAGTCCTAATATAATAGGCACTCCTGGCATATTTCTTACTAATAAAAATGTTTGTGGAAGACAAATATTATTTTGACAAACAAAAGCATTAGGCAATTTATATGAAATATCTAATGTATGATTAGATGCGGATTTTAATGCATGCGAGGTTTTTTCAAAATATTGCGTAGGTATTAACCCTTCTTGAACACAAGACAAATCAGCACCACTATCAATCATTGCAATGTGTTTAAGACAAATTGCCTATCTATCATTAGAGTTAATTTTATATACCATCTTTGAGATGTAATTATTTGTATTGTTTTTAGGAATTCATAATTATGATCTTCGAGATATATTTTCAGCTAAATTCGAATACTTTGTGGATCAATTATAGAGGTTCCACCGATTGTGAATTCTCAATTGTTTTAATCCTTTTTCTAATAATTCGTTATTTTGTTTCAAATATTTTATTTCATTCTTTATATTATGAACTTCTATTTGTAAGTCTGCAATAGTTATAATCGAAGAAGATGACTCTTCTTTATTTAGTAATTTTTCATTCTTTTTCTATTTCTGCATTGAATAAGGATTATTATTTAAAACTATATCCTTTTATTAACTTCCTTTTCTTTTTATGAGACACATCTATCATTTTAATTATTTTATCACGAATATCATGATCCGGTATTTGTTTTAGTAATTCTAAAACATTATCATTGTTAACATATTAAATTGTAAATCTTGAAATTGAGATATAATATTGTAAAGGCTATTATCCTTACAACAATCATTATTATTATTATTTTGACATGGAAGACATTCATCCGAAGAACTAGATGAATATTCATCATTTTCAAGCATATTATTTTCCGAGCTATTAGTTTCTTCATTTGGACTCGATATCGATTCTTCTATTACTTTGCATATTTGTTCTTTAAGTTGTTCATCTATTTCTAATAATCTAATTCTATTAATCTTTTTACAATTAGGGGCAATATGACCCTTTTGACCACATTTGAAACATTTTATGTCTCTTTTATTTTTCTATTAATTTTTCTAAATTCTCTTTGTTCTTTTGTTCTTTTACGTCGTCGTTTTCCTTTAGGTATATAAGGAATTTTATTCTTCTTCATTCTTTTATCCCTATTTTCCGCCCAATATCCATAGCAAATTGATCACAGAACTGACCTAATTGTCTTCGTTCTGATAATTGTTGTCTTTTAATTTGTTGATTTAACTTTATTTCATTACATAAAGCTAATCCTTCTTGTGTGCACACACCTATTAGATGACCATATGTATAATCATCATAAGGAATGTAAGGAAAATCTCTCCTAAGAACTTTTCTTATTCGTTCAGCAAACAGAGTTGGTAAGCCATCTATAAATTTAGCTTTCCAATAAGAGCTATTACTTTCTGGTAATTCCATGACTCTTGATAAGAATGAATCTTTATACCATCTAAAAGAAGTAAGTGTTTTACACTTAAAATTATTCAACAATGTTCGAATATTTTCTTGATTATTAGTAAATTTTCCAGAAAAATGTTCTAATATGGATGCTATCAAAGTATATACTGCATCTTCCATCATAATGGGTGTAGATGTTCCTTCATTCTCAATTTTCTTGTATTATAAATTTTTGTCTATCATTCTCGGTTAAATAATTATCCCACCATCCTTTAAGGACACCAAGTAAAACCACAAACTATCATTTTGCGATTGCACGATCCGAATTACCATTTGCTTTTGCAACCGAGGAGTACATTAACATCCTATGCACCATATTAGATAATTGCCTATCAAGAACGCGTCACAATTCCATTCATAAACGAACGACTACTATAACTATTAGTAATTTCTTGGTGTTCTTCGTAAAGAAGATCTTGTGGAGAAGGTCGAGGGTAATAATAATGATTCATATATGGTTTATTAGCAAATTTATTATGTCTAGATTTATTAGAAAGACGATTTATTTCATCTCGTAGAGTTTTATCAAAATCTTTCGTATATTCTCGAAAATTCTAAAGTAGATAATTTAAGGTTTTTAAATTTTTCTTCCAATAATTTTTCTAATACATGTGGAGATTCAAGATTATAATCTTTTACTATAGGAGGAGGTTGTATAAAATTTTGTATTTTAATATCCTTATTTTTGTTTTCAATCAAAACTGGTTTAACTGTTTGTTGAAGATTATTGATAAGAGAAAATAATTTGTCAACTTTATCATGTAAAGAATTAATTTGTTCTCCTAAAATTTTTACATATAAATTTGTATAATTATTTTGCTGAATAAATTTATTTACTAAAGAAACAGTAGAAGGTAAAACTTCACTTTCAACCAATTTTGAAAGGCGGAAAAGTTATATGAGTTGCATTTGCTAAAACAAACTCTTTTTGGGGAGGGTAAATTCCTTTTGTAGTTTTCCCATCTGCAAGATGATATTCTCTTTCGAGGAGGAAAATATATTTATCAAGATAAGTGATTATAAACCACGGGACAAAATATATTATTTGATTGTGAAAAGAAGCATATTCATAAAATTCCTTTTGTATAAGTTTTTGATTTTCAATATCATAAGTAGAAAAGAACCATTCTCTGAAAAGTTTCCACTTTTCAGATTGAAATTCTTGTCTTATTGTTTGTCTAATATTAGATCCTGGACTAAAATCTAATTTTTCAGTATTCGCCATGATAACCCATTTCAGAAGGTGAAGGCATATCCTTATCAAATGTCTTACTATCAGCAGACCGAACAATATTATATGGATCAATTTTTACTTGATTTATTCTATTTGTTAGATCTATTTCAGAATCGAAGATGTCGAAAATTTATGAGAATCGACTAGATCTATATAAGATTTAAAAGATCTTAGAGAGTGGATCTTAGTAATTTAGGAATTTTTGGTTTATCAAAGTAATACTTATCGACCATTATCAGATTGCTCAATTTCGTAACATTACAACTTGTAATATTATGAGTTAATGAGTTTCCTTTAATTCCTTTATTAATTTGCCAAGACTCGGAAATTCAATTTCTTCCCATTTTATAGTTTTACGGGTACTAATTTGAGATTTATAAAAATTAGTTTCTATTAGTACGGTTTCATCGGATGGTTTACTTATAATCTTACATCTGGGTGTTAAGGTATTTAATAATTTAAAACAAATACGGTAATGTAAACAAATAAGTTCACTTCCAGGTAAATAATTGTAACCATGTAATTTCACATTTAAGGTTAAAGCATCGAGTATATTAACATCAGACAATGATAGCTGTAAATTTGGGTAAACATTAAAATAAACTGGACCATGAGCTAGGCTGGACTGTATTATGCCCATTAGGGATTTTTTCCAATGTAAATTTCTACCATCACGTAAGGCAAAGAACAAAAGATTCGAGTAAACCTTCTAAAGTTAAAGGTTTAAATGCAATTTGCACCAATCCAATATGCATGAACTTATAATTTTTATGAGATCTATAAGATTCAATATCTGTAGCAGACAAAAGTTGTAAAACCCTTTCATCAGAATTTAAAGCAATTGATTGCTCAGTAGTTTTAACTACCTGTTTAACCAAGTATCGATCAAACATACCATATTCATACAAAGTATTAGTGGGTACCTTTGGTATTGACCACTTATTAAGAAGAGCAAGTTGTTGAGGCATATCATATTCCTCTTGAACCGAATTTTTATTGAAGTACTTTCTAAATTATTCATTTTAAATTAGGTTCGAATCAAACAAATCTTTTGTAAACATAAAAATACATAACCGCTCGATACCAATTTGGCGTGGGGTTGGGGCACGGCCGAGTCTTATCTTAGCCTGGTAAGACAGGCAAACAGACGAGCAAGGAAACCAGGCCGAAATCCAAACCACCACCTGGCCGATACCTTTCATCCGGAGCTATGCCTTGTCACCACCTACAGGATCAAAATCTCTATCCATCCTTAATTAAAATATCAATAATCGAGATGCATGGAAAAGTTTCACCCAACTCTCAAGCCTGTCTGGAATTCACAACTTATTGTGCATCATGTGGCCTCTGCCTGAAAGAAATGCTCATACTTATCAAAACTCTAGTCTGTTTCATTACAATAGATATTAAATAAAGGAAAAAAAAAATCACACAGACATTATATTATCTCTTCCTGATTATAAAGTATAAATTTGAACTTATTTTAATGTTAATTTGTGTTTTAAAATTATTTTTCGACGAGAATATGATATATACAATAAAGTGTTCATGGTGTCACGAAAAACTTTTAAGAAAATACAAAATCACAAAGTGAAAATTGAATTCTAATAATATACTTTTTACGTTTCAAATTTCTTTTTTTTTATAAAAAATTCTTACATGATATATTTTTTATTCAATAATGGAAATTCTTCATAATGGAAATTTTTTTTACGGGGGCGGAAGAGTAATAAATAACGTTTGGGTGTTTTTTTAAATACCGGCTATATTTATTACCTAAACATTTTCATAAATAAAAATATGTGGTTATTTCTGTTATTGCATTGAATAATAATAAAAATGTGCCTTTTTGAGTTGAGGAGGGACCCAAACACTAATTACAGAAGAAAATTAATAAAAGAGAGGGTGCCCAACTTTTCCTTTTCATGATAGGGACAGGGTCCCACCTCCAACACCCCCTTGTTATCTCTCTCTTGCACTTTTTATCACTTTTATTGATATTTTAATCCACATTGTCAGAAAACTTCAACACTGCCCAACAAAAAGAGAGCCAGTGTGAAAAAAAAGGCCTTCGAAAATCCAAAAAAAAAAAAAAAAAAAAACACACACACACACACACTCACACAGTGATGTATACATAGATTTCTGGAAAGGTCGATCTTTTCCTTGTGTGGATATTTCTTCCTGGTTTGCAGAGTGAGAAAGCTGCAGGAGAAGAGAGAAAGGGCTTCCTGTTTTTTGTGTGTACTTTAAAACCCCTTTCTTGTACTCTGTAAATTGCCTACCTTTACTGTTAAATTAGGTAAGGTAGTTATTTTGAGATTTTCATTTCTTCCCCTTTTTGTTTTGATGTGGGTTTCTTTTACTTTCCTGATTTGGGATTGTTTTGTATTGCTTTGATGATTGTTTTGTGTTTGATGAAATGAAGTTTGCTGCTTGAGCTGTGTTATCTTCTCCATCCGTACATTTCTTATCTTGCTTTCTATGTATATGTGTGGTTATTTTTTGTTCCAAGTTTTGGCTGATTTTTAAGTTGGATTCGCTGATTTTTTACTGCTTCAATTCATAGATGAATCATATCTACTATTGGTCGGCCGATGTTCTTCTTTGTGTTTTTACCCTTTTTATGGTTTAGAATTGACTTTTTCACTGGTTAAATCGAGTTGTTACCCCTTCAGTTCTTTTTTTCGGAAATAACTATTTTGCTTTTGGATATTCTAAGATTGACTGCAAATGGGAGGAAGTTGTCTGAAATTCTCTACTTTAGGGATTCTTGATTCTCCAATCTCTTGGAGCACCTTGCCTCCCTTTTTTGCTAAGAGATATGGTTTAATTGCGATTCTTTTAGCATCTCTTATTTTTCTTTTCTTTTTTTGATTTGATAATGTTTTTGAGACTTGCTTCAGTTTAAATTAAGTAGTGTAAAAGTGGCCTTTTCTTTTTTAGATTAAGTCAGGATCTGCCGTTATAGTGTGATTTTTGTCAACAAACAATTAGTATCCTTGAGTCCTTGACCATATCTATGTAATGTATAGAGTTGTAATTCATTGATCATAGCCATCCTTTTCCTGACTTAGTCTCATTATTATTGCAGATTATTTAAGCTTGGATTACTGTAGTGCAAGACTGTGCTTTCTTGCCTCAGCTCTCTTTGTTACTCATCTGTATTCATTTGTTATATTCAATAGCAAGTCATTCTATTATAGAGGTGGTGCAGCTAACTGGAAACTTAGGTAGTAATGGGGTTTATGTGCGATTTTTGTGCGGAGCAGAGATCTGTAGTATATTGCCGGTCCGATGCTGCTTCACTGTGCTTATCGTGTGACCGGAATGTCCATTCTGCAAATGCGCTTTCGCGACGTCATTCTAGGACGCTTGTTTGTGAAAGATGTAATTCACAACCAGCATTTGTTCGATGTATCGAGGAGAAGATATCCCTTTGTCCAAATTGTGATTGGAAGGGGCACGGAGGTTCCTCCTCAGGTTCCACCTCTGGTTCCACCCATAAGAGGCAAGCCGTAAATTGTTACTCTGGTTGCCCTTCGGCTGCAGAACTGCAAACAATCTGGTCATTCTTCTTGGAGATTCCTTCTGCAGGTGATCCTGCACAGGAGGTAGTGATGGGTTCAATGAGCATTAATGAATGTCCCGGGGATGATAACCACAAGGAGCGTATTCGTGATGGATCATTAATCGTCTCAAATGACATCAAGTTGCATTCTGCACATGAGCCTGCTGGATCAACTTATGTTCCTTCGCCAATGGTAAGACTCTAATGGGTTAAAGGACAAGTATTTTATGACTTTTGTATCTCTTTTGGCATAGTTGGTGTTGGTTCCATATAGTTTGAGGTCATTAAGAGGGGTTCTGTGAGGAAATAAGAGGGTGAGTTTACGTATCCTTACGACATTCATTTGAACGTTTAAAACTAGTTATACTCTTAGGAGCATGATCCCTAAGTTTGTTTGCCTGCTGCTTTCCCATCTGATCGAAGGACCAATAGACTATTAAGTCTTCCAAAAAACAAAATAATGTCTATTTCTTGTCCTTGTGATACTGTATCTTTTTTTGTTTGGGGATATCTAACTCTGCAAATCTTTTAATTAAACAGGAAGATGTGGTGGTTCTTTTGGGTTGGGGACAGGCTTTGGTCCTAAATGTTTTATCCGCATGTCATATATTCAGTACTTCAGGTCCCTTTTGTTCTATCTACGTAATCATTCTTTCTTCAGTTTCAAATTTTTTACGTTAAAATCATTTCGTTATTGCTACCATTCCGAAGTTTGGATAATGGTTCAGGAACAAAAGGTAACACTAAGCGCCCAGTTTGCTAATTTTCTGGTTTGATTTTTAAAATAAGGATAACAGAAGAGGAGACTGTGTAAAAGCAGATGCCTGATGAAATTGGGTGTTTTAATGACTCACGGTAGTTTTTAGTCATTACAGAGCAATACTGTGCTGATGTGGTTGTTGATACTTCATATTTCCTGTTTAATTTTTTGTTAATCCTTGATATTTGATGCCCAATGCAGGAGAATGAAAATGTAAGAAAATTAGCAGTGATTTTAGATGGTTTTTGAACATAGATAACCAGTGGTTTTTGACGTCTTTTATCTGGCTGTGGTTTCCTGTAGGAAATCTTTTCATTGGTCTGAAATATGTGTATGATTGTGGTTGTGTTCTGTTTCTGTTGCGTTGTAATAAAGACTGGGGACTACTTGGTGTAGAGTGAGTTGGAGTGAGTTTGATCAATACACTTAACGTTCACTGGAAAAGGAAAATTGAGCGTTGATAACCATTTTTAATACACTTTTCTGTATACTTTGTGATGTTTGGTGGTTATGGCTGTTTATGTGTGTTTTTGCATGTGCGCGCGCGTGTGTATGTGTGTGGGAGTTACTATGCTAATGATTAAGCACCAGATTGTCAATCTCGTGTGAGCTTCTGAGGTGAGATAGCTCAATCTAGAATCAGGTAGTTTTTTATCTCAGGAAGAGTGCATTCGCGTGGAGGAAAGTGATAGCACGCAATATTTATCTGTCTGCGAACTGGGATATTATATAAATAAAACAGTTGTTCTAGAAGAAAATATTTCATAGAGATGTACTTTTGTCAGAGTATAGAAGCAAATCCAACTCAAATATCCTCTCTTATGTGCAGGTGTCTTTTTCTGGAGCAAAAGGACCAACGTTGTGTGAAGATGATAGCTTTTATGAGAGTTTCAACATGGATGAAGTTGACTTAAGTATTGAAAACTACAATGAGATTTTTGGAGATGCTTTTGATAGCTCAGGAAAGCTTTTTGGAAATGATGGTATTGATGATATTTTTGGGATGGAGATATCTGGTGCTGATTCTAACGGCCAGGATGCACACGTTACTGAGGTTTTGTCTCTTCAATTTTCTGAAGTACCCTTTGTGCATAGAACCTAATGTAGTATATCAGCCGATAAAGGAAGATAATTCATATTTCGTAAGGGTCGTGAAAGATATTATTTTCGGCTAGTAGTTTTGACACCCAATATTTGTCTCTTTAAAGGTTATAGTTGGAATCTCGTTCGGGATAGTTCTTATGAAATAATGACCTTGTATCTGCTAGGTACTACCGACCATCATTAAAGAAGCTTTCCTCTAAACATTTGATGAATCATTGTTTTAAGGTTTTTTGAGGGGTATAGCTGTCTTTTCTTGCCAACATCACCTTTTTCCACCTGTCCAGATTGTGTTATTTCATTGATTTTCATCTCTATGTCATCATTTTTTCAGGTTATCATCTTCTTGCTCTTCCTTTTTTTTTTTTTTTTTCCTGACAAATTCATTTACAATAATGAGGTTCTAGATATTTTGGAGTGTCATTCAAACATCATCTCTTACATTATAAGAGTGATCTCTGCTTTCCTCTACACAAAATATTGCTTTTATTTGATCATATGTACTGCTGACATTTGAAGCCGTCAGTATATCTCCAGCTCTGACAATATGGTTGCTGGTTCTATTTTTTATCACATTAATCTAGAGAAATGCTAGCTTTTTCTTTTCTTTTTCTAATATGTTAATTTGCTGTGGTTTTCAAACATCACCAGGGATCAACTGGATGTGCTAAGGGCGTACAGCCTGCATGCAGCACTGCTGCCTCGGGAGACTCCATGATGAGCTGTAAGACAGAACCAACCGTATGTTTTGCAAGGCAAGCTCACTCTAGTCTCTCATTTTCTGGTCTAACTGGGGAGAGTAATGCCGGCGATTATCAGGATTGCGGTGCCTCTTCATTGCTTCTCATGGGTGAACCTCCTTGGTATCCTCCATGTCCTGACAGTTCACTTCCTTCCAGTAGCAGGAGTAGTGCTGTAATGCGTTATAAAGAAAAGAAAAAGACACGCAAGTAAGATTCTTTTCCTCTGTCGGGGTTTCTTTTGTTCTTCGCTTGACCTTTGTATGACATAGAGGCAGTCTCGTTAAATTGGGTCGCATGTTTCTATTGTGTACTCTGCATTGCTCTATCCAATAGTGAGCTTGTGTATTTGTGTGTGTCTCCTTATAGTAAACTGACCCTACTTCCCATCGAAAATAAAATATGCTTCCGTTATTGATGATCTGAAATTTGATTCTGTTTCAGATTTGAGAAGAAAGTACGGTATGCTTCTCGGAAGGCAAGAGCTGATGTTAGAAAGCGTGTAAAGGGACGCTTCGTCAAGGCTGGTGATGCATATGACTATGACCCTCTGACTCACACTAGAAGCTGCTGAGAGTAAACTTTTTACCATAAAATTATAAGGAAAGACATGAACTGCAATTTGCAAAACATTGACATTGCATGAGAAGGTTGAAATCCCGTGCACTTTCTCCCTTTGCAATGACAAGATTTATGATCTTATCTCAGGAGTTCGAACTGTCTTTGATTGATGAAAATGGGATGAAGAAGAAAGCCTGATTCTTTGTTTCATCAGAAAGGACTCGTAAAAGAAAAAGAAGAATCATGACATGATTGGACTATATTTCACAGAGATCGGTGTCAGCTGTGGAGGAGACAAGGGTATGAATTGGTTTAACTTGTTTGGAGAGGGAACCAGCACTTGCCTCATCCAGCTATAACTCGTCGACAAGCCTTCTATTTCACTGGTTTTCTGTACTCTGTCCCTTCTTTTCTCTGAAGACGGGCCTTGTATATGTGCAGTACCACATATTTGCCCAACAGGTCATCCAAAAAGTACTCAATACCTTCCCTTTCTTGAACCTGATAAGTTAAGTTTGTGCATTACATTACATAGTCGTCAGGAGGCTGAGTTGGTGCCAAGATGTGGTATTAGCATCAGATGAGGATGTTGTATACAGCCAAGGATCAAGACATCTTGTACATAGTTCACTGGAGCAACTTTTAGCATGCAATAACCTTGCCTTTGTTCATTGTTCGCTGGAGCGACGTCTACATGTAATAATCCCTTGCCTATACAAGGGCGTGTAGTGTGTAGTTGCGTCATGTATATGAGATTTTACCTTCATTTCTCTCATGACTTGGATATCTTCTGTAAAGCATAATGCGACTAGTCCCAATGTAAAAAGCTAGCTTTTTGGATACTCTCTAACCTTTCATCTTTATCCTCTCTCAAACTAACCCTCCTGAGATTTATTTATACTGATTTTACACACAATTTCTCTCTCTCTCTCTCTCTCTCTCTCTCTGCAACATCCTTCTGATATCTGATATGATTGATTTTGATTTCATATGAGCCTTATACAACACCAATCACCATTATCTCAATCTCCAATGAACAATAGCCATTCTCCAACTCAGATGAAGAAAATTGATCATTTCAATCACAAAAGGATAATGTCACGTAACCAACCTTTTCTAAACAATCAGATCCGCTAAAAATAACAATTACATCAAATTCCTTCTTGTTAATTCCTAGGTGTAGTGATAGTATTCCACAAAATTATAGTGTTCAAAATGATAATTCTAAGAAACCTAAGTGGAGAAAAATGTACATGCTGCTATTTCATTTGGTCACAGCCGGTCAGCCACTCACTCAGAGCTCAATGAAGCCATTTTCTAATAAACAAAGGGAGCTAAATAGATTTTTATTAAAACTATAGGGATTAGAATGTCAATTTTGGGAGAAGAACAGACATTTTGCTCCAGAAATGGCTGACGGAAACTAGAAATCCAACTCGGCCATTTTTTCTCCATCAATTCACACAGTCATGGCCCTCTCTAAACTGGCCATGGCGGCAGTGTTTTACAGGTCCAGAACCCTTTCAGCGCCGCTCCTGAGTTACTTGGCTTCTCCTCTTCATTTCTCCCTCCCGCCTCCACCGCAGCCGCCGCCGTTGCAGGTTGCGCCGCCCCGTCAATATTTTCAACTGGTGGGGCAGTCGTCAATTCGGTTCTACCATGACGGGAGACCAAGAGGGCCTCTCTGGAGAGGGAAGAAAATGATCGGTAAAGAAGCTTTATTTGTGATACAGGGCTTGAAGAGATTCAAGGACAATAGTGAAAAGCTCGAGAAATTCGTGAAAACCCACGTCCATAGGCTTCTTAAGCTGGACATGATCGCTGTTCTCAATGAACTTGAACGCCAGCAGGAGGTTTCTCTTGCTACCAAGGTGCAATTCTTTCCCCTTTTGTTTCATCGGTTTGGTATCATCGTACCGTAATCTGAATTATGTGCAAGGGTTAGTATTAATGTGTAGTACAAGTATTAGCAGAGTCATTTAATCGTTCATACTTTGATGGTTTATGATGGCAAGCCTTTGGGTTAATGCTGGGTAGTACAGCCTTTGGGTTAATCGTTTCTTAGCGGGTGATGCAGCCCACAAACGAAATTGGGCAGTTTCTTAGGCATTGGAGAACTTCCATTTCAAAATTTTATGGTGAATTCTTTTCCATTGTAATCAGCTGTTAGGCTCTGTGGCGAATGTATCCTTGCTAATGAGGAGCTAAGTTGTTAGGCAGCATAGGTCCTTCTATCTGGGTTATTCCGTATTTTGATAAAGTACCATTTCTTCTTGGAATGAACCGATTTTTTAGTAAGGATTGATGGCTGAACATTCTGGCCTTAAGCTCCTAGAAAAGGGGACGTAAGAAAGGATTTGCATTTGGTTTGGCGTCTGTTGAGATCTGTGATGTGTCAGATGGTGGGAAGGAAATTTGTGTTTTTCAAATGCTGAAAGATATGAATGATCTGCTTTGGTAGTTCGATGGAGTTTGTTGTTTGGGAAACATGCGAAACGATTGTTAAAAAGCTAATTTTCGTGAGAACAACTTAGTTTAATCCAGTATGTGAATTATAAGTTTTTATTAGTATATTCATGTTACTGTACAAAAAAAATAGAGAAGTGCAAACTTGTTGCCAAAAATGACTTTGCATGTAAAACATGTCTGAGATAATACTGTACTTCTAAAAGAAGTTTGAAATACTGCAGCATCATGCATCCGGTTTTACATGAATTGGAAATCTTAATCTATTGTATCTGCTTTAACCGATATGTTTCCTATCCCTCTGTGGTGCTTGTGGCAACTTGTGTGTGTACATACATGTGCAGAACGGAGACAAATTTTACAACATGATTTTTTATATCAAATTTGACTTCATTAGCATTTCTTAGAATAGGTTATAACTGTTGCGGTGTCAATTTGCATCGTTCCTTATTCAGATATTCAAAGAAATTCAGAAGCAAGACTGGTACAAACCTGATGTCTATCTCTATAAGGATTTGATTGTCACTTTAGCTAGAAGCAGAAAGATGGAAGAAGCAATGGAGTTGTGGGAAAGCATGAGAAAGGAAGATCTCTTTCCCGATTGCCAGACATACACTGAAGTAATTCGAGGTTTCTTGAGATATGGATCACCTGCAGATGCAATGAACATTTATGAAGACATGAAGAAGTGTCCAGAACCACCGGAAGAGTTGCCTTTTAGGGTTCTGTTGAAAGGTCTTCTACCACATCCCTTATTGAGGAATAGAGTTAAGCAAGATTTTGAAGAAATCTTTCCTGATAGAAGTATTTATGATCCTCCTGAAGAGATATTTGGACTTCGCTGAGGTTGTGCCCCTCCATTACTAACATACTTTACTTAGTGTCTTTGACAAATTTGGTTTATGATATCATTACTAGTAGTAGAAACTCTTCTAATGATTTCACTTGTGGAGCTTCCATGTGCCTGCTTTGAGACAGCACTTACTGGCTGGAAGAGTAGTGTTATTGCTGTCTTAAGCTAGAGGCTGCCCTTCTCATTTTTATGACGTTCTGTGATGGCCTGTTTTTCACTTGTTTCTGTTTGTGTGAATGTTTGTTTGCACACTCCATGGATAGGGAAGAGATGTGTTTGGTGGGATATCCAGCTGCTCCAATGTATTAACACTTAAACTGATTTTCACTTGCGTTTTTTTCCTTCTCTATGTGCATTTGAAAGTTAAATCTGTGTCTTAATAACTTAAGAGTTCCCTAGCTCTTTCCTCGTCTCGTGATTAAATGATTAACCCTACATAAGCTTCACTTTGTGGTTTGTTTTGCATATCACCAATTACCCATTATTAATGGAGATCCTATCATTTTAAATGAGGGAAGTCTCTGTAAATTAAATCTCACAGTTGGCTTTATATTATGTCGCCTGATTCCGTATATTTTCCGGCTAACCCTTCCAAAATATTTGAAGCATTGTCATTAGGACAACATCGTTTCATTTTAACCAGGTAAAAAATGCGTTTGTAACTTATTGGCGTGGTTAGCATAATGATCTTGATCTTCTTAAGCAAGTCATTTCGGAAATAGGAAAAATTATTTAGAAACCTGATTAAATTGATTCAGTCTCACTGAACTTTTGAAACTCCTTGATAAACCTCTTGTTTATTCAGGTCACCTCTTTTTCCTAAAATCAAACCCTTCTTCTCTGAACCCCAGCCAATTGTTATACTCGGTCACTGTGTTCCCTGAGAATGGAATTAAGGGCTGCATGTGTGTGATGTATCCCTTATCAACTTTGCTTCTCGACTCTTTCTTTTTTCTGCGTGAAATTCTAGGTGTTGATTTCAAATTCATGAATTGCTGCGCACATGAATTTCTGACTCTTGTAATTTCAAATTCAATATCATTTGCTTCTATTCATCCACATATTGTGTTCGACTGTGCTACTCTGAAACCTACTGGCTTGCACGATAGTATCTGTTTGTAGCGGAGGTCCGGATTATTTGAGGAAGTTAATTAGTTTTATTTCATTGATAAAACATTAAAACCACACTATCATCATCTTCTTTTCTGTCTCCTTCCAACTGTTTTCCGGGAAGCTGCGGGTCTTGCAACTAAGATCCATCAACCAGTGACTCTTTACACTGAACTAAGGTACAAGATGGGTTATATAGCATGTCATTATATTGTCCAACTTAATTGTGATGTTAGCTTCTTTGAAGCTAGGTTGGTCATCTCTTAAGATTTAGGCCAATTTGCTTCTGCATTATCCGAGTAGACCTTCAACTACACATATGCTCCTATCCATTTCAATTACTACCTCTTCCAAAAAAGTCCACATTGAGTTTTGAAATTTGTACTAATTTTAGTACAAATTTTAGTACAAATTTGAAAACTAAAGAAAGACTAGTTTTTGAGACGGAGAGAGTAATAATATTTTTCTCTCCTCAATTTTGATCCTTTGGATGGGATTGATTGGTTCTTCTGAACCCTTAATTTGTTGAACATATCATCTTTGCATTCATAACTTATCCCTATGTATCAAGACTCACGTGAAGCTCTGTAATCGAGATAGACTTACCATGAACCCGATCATTTTTTATGGTTCAGTTAAAATTTTCATATAAGCTCGTTATCTAAAGTATATAAAGGGGGAGTTTATGACCGGACATGCACCTGTTTAGGTACGGTGGCCGGTCACTCCCCTACACATGTGTGACGTCTATTGGATTCCACAAATTGACTAAAGCCTATTTTCCCGGTTTCACCTTTGTCTTCTCCATTCTCGTCATTCTGTTCTCCCTTTCCGTTTTCTTCTTGCAGAGAGTCCCTTTCAGCTTTCCACCGGTGCAAATCTTGGCTTCTCGTCTGCCTCTTTCATTCGGTTTTTTTGCAGCAGCGTAGCAAATTTATCCCTCCCCAAAACACTCTAGCTTCCCGTTATTCAATTTATTGCAGTAGGCAACGATTTCTCGCAAAAAGGCGGCGCAAGAATTTTTCACCGGGAGAAAAATTGCCCCGAATCGAGGTTCGTATTTCCTCCAAACTTGTGTGGCCCCAAATTTTTCACCCGGAGAAAACTTGTTTTGGTCATCAAATTCTCACGACCAACTCCGGTTTCCTTCGTTGAATTTTTTGCAGCACGGCAACAATTCCCCGGAAAAAAAAAAAAGCGGCGCAGGAATTATTCCTAGAAGAAAATTGCCCTAAATTTAGGTTTGTATTTCTGCAGACTTATGTGGTAGCAAATTGTCCCTTTAAATCTACATAAGTGGCTGCATAGCAAGTCGATCAATGGGTTGAAAATCAATCAGGATTAGTTGACTTCACTAATTTGGGGGTTTCCAATTTTGATTCGATTTTCCAATTTTGAATGAATTGGGGGACCTGGATTACAACATTCATTGTCTTTTAACTTGTCTTGAGTGTAAGAGATAAGAAAATGTCCTTATGCATTCGTTTTTTTTTTTTTTTTTGTTGTTTTTAAAGTCTCTTTTTGTTTGGTTTTTGTAGCTTAGATTTTACAAAAGTATCATGTATTTTGGTTGCATGTTAGGTGTTTGATGTTAGGCACAGATGAATTTTTCCCCAAAGCTGTTGAAAAAAAAAACTAGAGGGAGAGTGGTTATGTATTTAAGAATTTGCCAATTTATCTGTTGATTATTTGAGGTTAAGGAAGCTAATGTATAGCTTTGTGTGGCTACTGCAACTATCCAATTGAGTGATAAATTCTTGCTTTTGCATATATATATATATATATATATATATATATATATATATATATATATATATATAGTGACAAAAATTTCTTTCTTTATGCCCATTTCTCCCCGACCCTGCTGAAAATGAGAGCAACAGATCTTTGCTTGCATTTGGGAGATGGCTCCGCTTGCCAATTGAGAGCTTCACTCCAGAGGTGTTTGTAACATTGCACTTTTTGCAAGAATTTGAGACTTTACAAGCCGCTTCTGAGATTCCCTTATGTTTTCTGTTTGGTGAAAATTTGGTAAGTGATTAGTAATTTCTCTATGGTAAGTGATTAGCAATTTCTCAGTTACTACTTTACTTCTGAAAATTTTGATTGATTTCTGAGCATTTTCTGATTAGCAATTTCTGAAAATTTTGCTTCTGAAAGTAGCAATTTCTTATTGCTACTTTGTAATACTCTGTGGTAAATGATTAGCAATTTCTCAGTTGCTACTTTGCTTCTGAAAATTTTGATTGAGTTCTGTGTATTTTCTGATTTGGTAAGCCCAAAAGGTGAGATTTTGAGGTCAACCTTTGATTTCTGATTAGCAATTGGCATTTCTACAATAAATTAGATGTTATATTGGAGTTGATTTAATTTGTTTAGTACGTGCATGCACATCTTTCCAATGGATGATTTTTGGATTTTTTGTAATTTCTCAAGAGTTGATTTGATTAGTACACGCATTCATCCACAATTGAAGTTGTTTGTACACTCTCTTTTTGACTTTTCGTAATTATTTTGGCTGACTTCATTTTGAAATTTGGATTGAAGAAGACTGCATCGAATAGTTTACTACTGTTTGTTACTTTTCAAATAACATGTGGAGTCTAACTTGGCTGTTGTTCTTAGCAGATCACCCGCAGGGTTCAACGTTATATGAAAAACCCATGTTGTCCATATTGTTTCTAATTAAAATCAAACTTTTGATACATTAAAACGATTAGAAACACCTACTACAAATTCAGAGTAATGACAAGTATTTAGAATGTGTTATCTGCAACTTTTGTGTCCTTAAGCTTGTTATGTACTTACTTAGGAGTTTCCATCCTTGCCGAAAAGCAGTGCGAGCATTGAAAATCTGCCGCAATCTGGCAATGGTTTTGCATTCATGTGCTATTATGTGCTAACAGAGGCCTCAAAATTTCAGAATAAATCATAGAATACGACATTATTAACATTTGGCTTTATTTTGTAGAGTTATGGTGTATCAGTTAAAAGGATCTTTCCAGTTGAGTTGGACAAATCCCCTTCTTTGGAAAAAATCAAGAAGCAACCAAATAAAGTATTGTTATGATGTGGTAATCAGCCAAGTATTCTGTTTAACAGATTGTTTGAGAAGCTTTTCAGTAACAGTGATGGTTTTAATTTGATGATGAATTTTGCTGGCTTCATAGCCTCACTGGGAAGACATTGAATTAACATGATGTATTGTTCAATTGTGCCGGCTATTGAATTTTACTATGATTATGATCAAAGGAGGTAACAAGCGAGGGAAAAGATTGCTTCAAGTATTCCAAGTTTTATTGGTGTTGGTTTGCGAAATCTAATGAACGGAACATTGAGGAAAAACTTGGAAGAAAGGAAAAGTTGATCTATACCCGGTATTGAATGAACACATGTCGTTGTATCTTATTATCATAATCATAGCAAACTATATTGTATCTTATTACAAACAATATTGTATCTTATTATCTCAATCATTAACTTATACCCGTGTAAAAATAGTTGTATTTTGTATTAACGTCTTTTTACTAAGGACTTCACATAATTTATTAATAAAACATTTGTTCCCCTCAAAAAAAAAAAAAAGACTTCGCATAATTTATAAACTACTATTTTCACTAATTAAAATTTTCCTATTTATTAATATGGAAAAAATATTGGGCTACCACTCCCTTTCGCTGCACAATGTGCAGCCCCCTTCCCTAGTATATCTTCAAATCTGGCAAATCATCACTTCTTTGGTCTTAAAATAAGAGTAGTGTTTATTATGCTTCCTTAATTCAATAACTATAACTTTTATTCTTGGATCAAAAGGAGTATTTAAGACTAAGAGTTACTTTGTATTCAGTAATCAATCGGTTGCATGATCGATTTTTAAAGGTTTTCACCTTTGTTCTATATATAATCAGATGATTGAACATCTATTTCATTTTTTATTTTTTAAAAATCTTAATCTAATTTTGTATATATTGTATATCGTGAGCTGATCATTTATAGACTATCTATAGACTATCTTAGGGGTAAACAGATAGACTTGATGTAGCAAAACATTTCAGCGATTAACGTAGAATATATGAAACGACAAACACCTTTTATATAATTCATTTTTTAAAAGATATACTATTAGGTATTGAGTATTTTGTTTATTTTGTTTATTTTTTTTCTTTGTATGGCAGAATTTTATATCGACATTACATTCATAAAGTATCTAAAGATTGAGTTCTAAGATTTTGTAGATTACATTTCGGTGACATTTTATCAATGTTCTAAAAGTTGATACTCTACGTATCCACCTAATGAAAGAATTATATTTCTGTGTGTATTACTGGTTGTATAATGAGATATACATATACAAGGATACATAAGACCCTAGCTGACTATTCCGAAAATCCTAATTCGATTTCCTTAATTACATACTCTATCATCTCCCGCAATCGTAGCAGGATGAGGAATCATGCCTAGATTGGTTCGAAACAAATAGAAT